GGGGGGGGGGGGGGGGGGGGGGGGGGGGGGGGGGGGGGAATTGCTGGGTAAGCGGACTGACCCATGCGTTCGAAGCAGATTCTTATCACAGCGAATTATTCGCCTAATTTTGGGGAATAGCTTAGTCAAAGATTCGGCCACCATAAGTAGATCCTCAGTTTTGCGCATTGTCTTCAACATATTGACAACCGCATAATATATATGTGTCTGGGCATGGGACCAACTGCTTTTCCGTTGATTTTTCATTGATCATTGCTTGACTATATTGGCCATGGTAAACATTTGAGAAATGGCTCTGAACTATTTATTTAAATTATGGAAGAATTTTCGGAAAGGATTTTGAGAAGATTTTTTATACTGGCGTTTCTGAGGCCCGACAACCCCGCAATAAGATAAACAGCTGTTTTTTAAAGCTGAAAGAGCTCATGACACTGCTCGACTTTCCAGGCTCTGTCGAAGGCGATAACGCCGAAACGTTGGCCGAATAAAGATTTTTCAGCATCTTAGTGTAAGCTCAGCAAAACAAGAAAGAGTGGTCACTCATGACACTTTTGGCATGGTCTATCGTGCAAGCTTTGCTGCATTGTCGATTGGCAAGTTGCGACTTGTGTTAACACTAAAAGTATAAACAAGGGAAGAACGTAAACATTCTAGATATATAAGCATTTGCTTCTAAGAATATTCTTATTTATATCAGAAGCGAAATGGGTTACGAGCTCAGCACAAATCCTTCTCGATGCGATATTGGAGTAGGCGGTGGAACAAGAACGTATAAACTCGTTAATCATTGCGACCGTATGCTTGCATATCGCGTAGGTCCTTACTAAGTTCTTAACAACGAAATCCCAAACCCTACCAATCTCAGATAATAATAAATCCTGGCTCGAACTATTCAGTACCTGAAAAACAACTCTATGGGCTTATTCAAATCGGTTACACTGTTGACATAGAGATTACGAGGAAGGTAAAAATGGAATAAGACTTCCAAAAATGGATATTAAAAAGTAAACTTTTTCAGCCTGGAAAACCTCGTCCAGACAAAATGATTATCCAGTACGCATCTGTTGATCAAGATTGCCGCGATCCGAAGAAGCCATTTGCCACTGGCGTACCTGTCGGTGAAATTACTGGTGAAACTATGATGAAGCTGATTGCAGTCGAATAGAAGAAATTCTTGTAGGACTGATAGATTT